TGATGTCTAGGAGACTGAAGACTTCATTGCCTGTGGCAAACATATTACTTGATCCTTGTGTGGTTACAGGTTGTGTCCCGGCGAAACTGCAGCGGAGGAAACAGATTGCCAAGCTGTCATACGATGTGTCTGCTAAAGACTTACCTGAACTAAGCATTGGAGAGCCAATCCGTATGAAGCCGCTTCCAGGTGACAGGACCGGTCGCTGGAGACTAGGTTCCTGTGTGCAGAGAGTTGCTCCTCGATCATATCTTGTGGATGTAGAAGGCAGTCTTTACCGCCGCAATCGAGTGGACCTGCGAAAGGCAGAACGATTCACCACACAAGCCTATGAGCATCCTGCACGTGATCCTCCTGAGGTGCTCAATGCCCCGAGTCCTACTGGACCATATAATCAAAGCAGAGAGAACCCAGCTGTCATATCAGGATACAATGAGGATGACAAAATGCAGCCACATATCCCGTCAAGTTCTTCTTTGCCAAACACACACCAGCCAGGAAAGAGGGTAGCTCCTTATCAACACCTTCTGGAGCTGAACGGATTTCCCCAGGCAAAATCCCTGTGGTCTTGCGTAGTGGTCGAGTTTCAAGACCACCAGATAGACTCAATCTGTAGTGTATCTACCAGTAACACAGTATGCCATTTTCAAGACTGTTCAGGATCTGTTTTAGTTTAATTGTTTACAAGGTTTGAATTGAATGTAAAAAAGGGAGATGTTATAGAGTTATTATGCAAATACTGTGACCCTACTTGCATATGGTAATATTGCATTGCCTTATACTTCCTTTTTCCTGTTCTATGCTGACCTGGATGTAGTTCTGTTGTACAACATGATTCCTCACACCAGCATCTTGTGTTGTCTGCATTCCTGTACATGAAACAACAGTTTGTGTTTTCCTCAGCAGACACTGACCCGGAGGATGATGTGGTTCCCAAACCTGTGAGACCCAGGAGGAGGGAGAGAGCTGCTTTTGTTCTACTGGAGCATTTGCCCAGTGAGATAGAGAAGGCAGCAGGCTTGAGAGAGAGGTGAGCGGTGTGGCAGTGAAGCTGCAGGAAGCACCAGGGACTGTAAGTAAAGCTATGGACGGTTCTGTCATGTCTGCTGGTAATGTTGTGCCTATTGTGGTATTAGATGACCCGGATCCCATGTGTATGCCTGACTCAGCTGTAGCTGTGTCTACTCCAGGTCTTTGCTCTGACAGTGTTTCCATCCCTGCTGACGCTGCTGTTCCCGCACATGTTTCCACCTCTGCTGCAGTCATGGCTGCTGGTGGGTTTCCCGCACATGTTTCCACCTCTGCTGCAGTCATGGCTCCCAGTGGTGTTCCCACCCATGTTTCCACCTCTTCTGCAGTCATGGCTCCCAGTGGTGTTCCATCCCCAGGTTTTCCCCCTCTGCTGCAGTCATGGCTCCCAGTGGTGTTCCCACCCATGGTTTCCACCTCTGCTGCAGTCATGGCTCCCAGTGGTGTTCCCACCCATGTTTCCACCTCTTCTGCAGTCATGGCTCCCAGTGGTGTTCCATCCCCAGGTTTCCACCTCTGCTGCAGTCATGGCTCCCAGTGGTGTTCCCACCCATGTTTCCACCTCTGCTGCAGTCATGGCTCCCAGTGGTGTTCCCACCCATGTTTCCACCTCTGCTGCAGTCATGGCTCCCAGTGGTGTTCCCACCCATGTTTCCACCTCTGCTGCAGTCATGGCTCCCAGTGGTGTTCCCACCCATGTTTCCACCTCTGCTGCAGTCATGGCTCCCAGTGGTGTTCCCACCCATGTTTCCACCTCTGCTATGGCGGCTCCCGTCTCAGTACCCACCCCTGCTGCAGTCATGGCTCCCAGTGGTGTTCCCGCACATGTTTCCACCTCTGCTATGGTGGCTCTCGTCTCAGTACCCACCCATGTTCTCGCCTCAGCCCCAGTCACGGCTCTTGCCAGTGTTCACACCCATGTTCCCGTCTCTACAATGGTGCAGGCAGCAGTCTGTGTACCCACCCCTGATCCCGCCTCTGCTCCGGTCTCAGCTCCCGTTGCTAGTCCTGCCCATACCCCCGGCCAGGCTCCTGCACCTGCCGGTGGTCCCGCCCCTGGTCCCGTCTCTGCACCCGTCTCAGCTCACGGCTCAGCTGATCCTTCTGTCCCTGCATCTGTCACAGCTCCCAAGCCAGTATTGCGTTACTCTGCAGCCCATGAGAGGTGGGCAGAGTGCAGTGAGGACCTCAGAGGCAAGAGTTGGGGAGGCAGGTACTGTGATAAAGAGAAGGAATGTGGTACAAATAAAGTGGGAGGGTGGGAGTCCCACCCCCACTAGAAGGAAGGTTATTGATCGAATATTGGACATGGGCTTCTGTGCCAGGAACATATTCGCCTTTATTGCACCCATTGGCACAGGTGAATACGATGTTTCCTTTGTGAGGCCAGAGAGCCTTGATCTGTTCTGGCAGAGGTATGAAGGGGGGTGGAGGGATACCCCCAGGTGGGAGGGACTAAGGCCAAAGGTGGTCTCCAGGCAGCAGGTAGTCAAAAACATCACAATACTCGTCAGGAACGAGTCCATACCGGCGGCGGACCTGGTAGTATGGTTGAGTCGCTTCGGGGGGAAGTGCTGAGTCCACTGAGAAAACAGCTTGATGACAGGGGTATATGGACGGGGGGATGGACAGCGGTGGTGAAGCTGCGAGTGCAGGGTAACATAGTGAGTCATATCCCATCATCAGCCTTCATTGGCAAAGATAGGCTGGTCATTTTTTATGCGGGCCAGCCTAAAGTATGCCACAGATGCGGGAGCAAAGGGCACTTTGCCTCTGGGTGCAGTGTACTGAAATGCTCATTGTGCCAAGAGATTGGTCATATAGCTAAAGACTGCAATCAAATCAGATGTAATCTGTGTCAGGAGTTGGGTCACTCTTACAGTAATTGCCCAGAGGCTCTGCATAACCTGCCAGGGGTGATGGAAGAGCTGGCTAGAATGGAGGCTGAGGAGGCTAAGGAAGTAGAGGCAGGTCGGGTTTTGGTTGAACCAACAGTTGATGCTGGGCCAGCCTCAGGGGCACCTAGTGTGTCCCCCAATGTGTCTGTCATTCCCCCTGTTGTTAGTATTCCCCCTGTTTCTGTTTCTTCCCAGTTGTTATCTGCCCCTCCTCGTGTGTCTCCCTCCTCCGGCCAATCAAAAATCAAGGAGGCTGCTAAGGGAGCAGGGGTTGTGGGGCCCTCAGGGTCTTCTTCTCCAGTTTTGCTCCCCCGTCGACGGAGGAGTCAGGTGAAGGGGGATGGGGTGTCAGGAGGTAAGCAGGAGTGTTCAGGCTCAGGTCCTGGGGTTGAGGGGTCTGGGACAGAGAATAAGGGGGATGGGTGGTCTGTAGTGGGGAAGGGAAATAGGAATAGGCCTTTAATTTCCCCTGCATCTTCCCTCTCCTCTTTTAGATGTAGAGGAGGTACATCTGACCAACAGGTTTGGGACTCTGTCGGGGGAGGATGGGGACATAGGTGAGTTCCTATCCCCAATGGAGGATGAGGATGCTGGGGGCTTCCCTAAAGAGGTCTAGGCCTCTGGGAAAGGGTGGGAAAAACAAAGTTTAAGAAACGCCATCTCAAGTATCCTAATGGCAGTTCCCGCTCCGATAAAGGTGGCAACCATTAATGTTGCCAGCATTAAATCTGTAAGTGCTCGTAGTACAGCCTTATTTTTGCTCAGCAAGATTGGAGCTGATGTTTTGTTTTTGCAGGAGACCCGGCTTAATTGCCTGGCCGATTTACATCTGGCAAAAAAAGAGTGGAGGTATGGCCCATCTTTTTGGTCTCTTGCGGCTGAGCTTTACAGCGGAGTTGCGGTACTTTTTTCCGGCATGGTAACGTGTCGGCGGGTCCTTGAGGTGGAGATTGGAAGGTGTTTGGTCTTAGACGTCCTTGTGAAGGGGCAGGAATTACATCTTATTAATATATACGGTCCCCAGTCTACGTGGGATAGGAAATGCCTTTTCACAAAGATTAAGCCATTCCTTTTTACGTCCCGGCAGGTTGTTTTTGGAGGTGATTTTAACACCATCACTAGGCTCAAAGACAGGAAAGGCTCCACTGACAGGCTGGGATATGACAGCGTTTTTTAAATGCGATAGTCAGGGAAGAAGGTCTGTGTGGATGCCTTGATTAAGTGCAGCCCGGGACAGCACAGGGTTCACTTTTAGAAGAGGTAGATGTGAGAGTAGGATAGATAGGTTTTTTTTAAAGGGGGACTCTGCTTTCTCGGCACCTGAGTGTCGGGCAGTGGAGTTTTCCGACCACCTTTTATTGACTGTGGCTTTGAATGCTTCAGATGCGCCACTGAAGGGAAGGGGTGTCTGGAGGATGAATTCGGCTCTGCTGGAGGATGAAGAAGTGAGACAATCCTTTGAGGATTTTCTTCAAGCACAGGAGACCATCCTGGATTTCTGCGGCAGTAAGTCGGAGTGGTGGGAGCTTACCAAAGTGCGAATCAGCAGGTTTTTCAAGGCCCTAGGTAAGAAGAAACAACTTGTGAAATACATTGCCTATCAGCAGTTGCGGAGGAAGCTTGACCGCCTTGTCTCAGAGGGTGGAGATTCTGGGGCAATCTCAGAGGTTAAGCTTCTCTTAAGGAAACATCAGTATGATCGGCATGCCTCTTTGGTTCTGGAAAGGGATTATGGAAATAATCACTCGCCCGACCGTTACCAGAACTGCAAACAGAGCATAGCAGCCAAAACGATCAGTGGTCTGAAAGATAGTATGGGATCCATGACAAAATCCAGGTCAGGGATCTTGGAGGTCTCGAGGGCTTTTTTTGAAAATCTTCTGAGGGAGAAGCACCTTGACCGGGCAGGGATGTCAAGCTTCCTGGATTCTACACCAGGGTTTGAGAATAACACCCCATCCACAAGTTTGACAGGTGAGATCACAGTTGAAGAGGTTGCCAAAGCGATAGACAGTTTGGCCATTAAAAAGACACTGGGGCCAGACGGCTTGACAGCAGAGTTTTTTTAAGACCTTTAAATCTCGCTTGGCACCTCTCCTGGCGGAGGTTTTTAATTGCTGTCTTGAAGAGGGCTCACTCCCTCCTCCATGAGGAAGTCAGCTGTGATTTTGCTGTCAAAGGGTAAGGATTCTACGATGATTGAGAATTGGCGCCCCATTAGCCTGCTCAACGTCGATAGATCATGGCCAAGATCCTTTTCTGGGCGCTTGTCGTCAGTGGCAGATGGTCTATTTTTCGCAGCAGCAGCACTGCTCGGTTCCAGGGCAGGAGCACCTTCTCAGTGGTGTTAGCTGTCCGGGAGGCTCTGGAGCGGTGCAGGGCTGATGGCTGTGGGAAGTACTTGCTGGCGTTGGATCAAGCTAAGGCTTTTGATCGGGTCGACCACAAGTACCTTTGGCATCTCCTTTACAGGTATGGTCTGGAGGGGAGGTTCATTGGTTGGTTGCAGACTTTGTATAAAGGGGCTGAGAGCTTCATGTTGGTCAATGGTTGGGTTGGGCGGGCCCTTTGAGGTCGGTTCGGGGGTCCGCCAGGGATGTCTGCTGAGCCCTCTGCTCTATGCCTTTGCCATCAATCCCTTTATTAGGAGGCTCGATGGCGGGGTGTTGGGCAGGGTACCGGTGGTGAAACTGGTGAGCCGCCTTTGAGGGTCGTGGCCTATGCTGATGATGTGTCTGTTTTCATCTCCAGGGCCAGTGAGGCACAGGAGGTGGTCTTGGTGATGGAACAGTATGCAGAAGCATCAGGCTCCAAGATCAATCAGGATAAATGTGAAGTTTTCTGGATGGCAGGGAAGGTGAGGGCTTCGAGCTTCCGGAAGTCTTCCCAGAGCCCTGACAGAAGATCAAAGTGCTAGGCATCGAATTTGGCCCGGAGGATTATAGCAAAGCAAATTGGGAATCCAGGCTGTCAGATGCTGATGTTAAAGTGAGATGCTGGAAGGGTGGCGTTTGTCCCTAAGGGAAAGGGTTGACCTAATTAAAACTTACTTGGTCCCCATTTTCTTGTACGTCAGTTTCGTCTGTCTCTTGCCAGATTCTCTCTATACGAGAGTCTACAGCTGTTTTTTTCCAGCTATTGTGGGGAAACAGGCTGAACCTTGTGAGGCGGGATGTGACGTACCGATCCAGGCGGGAGGGTGGCCTAGGTATGGTCAACCCAGTTGTTTTCTTCTCTCTGCTGTTTATTAAACATAATATTGGTAGCATGTTAAAAGAGAGACCACCTGCATGGGTAGGTTTTTTTCCAAGTCTGGTTTAGGCCTTTTCTGAACTGTTGGGAGAGAGGCGGGCCAGTGAGAAGCCTGAGGGTCAAGCACGGTAAGCTCCCGGCTTATGTCGCCCCGTGTTGAAGCTACTTAGGCGGTGGTGTGTGACTGCGGAGGAGGTCCGGTCACTCCCTGGGAGGCTCCTGAGGGAGAGGGTCGTGGCCTCGGCATTCCATGCACCTCTGACCTTGGAGGATTGCCCAGGCCATATTTGTTAAAAGATTTGTTAAATATGGAGAGGATTTCCTTAAAGTTTAGGGACCAGGCCTGGCTTGTGTTCCACGGCAGGCTCTACTTGAGGGGAAATTTGAAGTGCCGTTCTCTGGATAACCGTGGTTGTCTGAGGACGGAGTGTGGGGGTGAGGTGGAAAGTATGGACCACTTCTTGCTTCAATGTCCCTTCAATGTAGAGGTGTATAAAGAGGTGGGGAGGGCACTGCATGTCTTATGCAGAGTGGGTGTATGGGGCATTGGAAAGTCATGCTGGTTTTGATTTGGACACACTGTTTCTAGTTTGTCTAGTTGTCCGTTACTACACCTGGAATGCATGGTGTCAGGTTTCCATTCGACAGAAAGTACTTCCTGTTCAGGTGGTGGTGTGTGACATCCTTGGCGAGGTGGGAAAATTCGGGGTCTTGAGAAAGACAGGCTGAGGCGAAGGGTCTGGATAAAGGCGTGGAGGAATATCAGGCCTGTAGCGGCAGTCTGTTTGATCTCTTGGTGTGGTTGCTGTCCTGCTTTTCTCCTCTTTTTCACCCCCTTAGATTTTGGTTGAAGGTTTCTTTTTGAGAATGGTCACGGACACCTGAAGGTCTAGGTTTCTTAGCCTTTGTTGGGTAGTATAGTAAGTTTTCTAGTTTTGTTAAAGCCATATAGCGAATAATTTAAAGTGTGTGAGGTTTCTCCTCATAAGGGATATGTTTATTTATGTATGCTGGTAAGCCATATCATGTCCTGGAGATGTATCCAGTTTTTTTTCTTTGTTTATTTCTGGTAGGAAGTTTATGTTATGTTTATTTATTTTTTATACTTTTGTAAAAAATATGTTTGCTGGTTGCAAGATCTATTTTTGAATAAAAATATTTCCAGCTAGCCCTACAAGCCAGAACCCCGGAGTTAATCGCTCTTTCACCGTCCACACCCCCCCACGCCAGACACACCACAAACGGTAGCTTGCCACCACCCAACAGTTTTACTGTCCTGCTGGGACACCACACACACACAGATCTCCATCTGGCAGACCTGTTACCATTACAATCTGCCATACAATCTGCCAACACGCAGTGCAATTGCATACAGATTGGCAATGAACTTGACCGAGCATTTAAAGACACTAAAATCCAATACAATCTAATCTCTCTCCGAAGATATGAGCCTGCTTAAGTACCTAGAAGTCACTTATTAATTTTATGATTTATTATCCCGAAAGTGGGCAGTGCATAAAATATGTACTGTACAAAGTATAAACAGTTACAGAAAATACAAAAAGACACACAATTGGCTATTCACTATAAAATAAAATGGAATAAAAAAACAGAAATGAAACTTTGCCAAGATTTATTCCTGCGACTGGAGCAAGTCAGAGAAAGTCCGTGATCCACCAGTCAATAGGACAGGCTCCATACGAATCACAACGTCCATACCTCAAGTCCTCAATTTATGGAAATATGGCTTGTAGGCTGGACATTAGTCCTTGGCCAATCAACCCTGGGGGGTGTTCCTGTACCAGCCCACAGGACGTTCTGGGTGCTGAAATGCCCAAAGTCGATTGGACCAGGAACAGTTTGAATCACCACAAGTCTCAGGGATTGAATTTCCGACACAGCGCATCCAGTCCGATTGTG